GTAAAACTGGAACTCCCACCAGCAACATATAAAATGGCTCGTTGGGGGGGGAGGGGGGCATCTGTAACATTTTCAACAATAAAGATAAATATAATAAAATAATAAAATAAAATGGCTCATTCCAAGATCTTCTCCCACACTGAATGTCAGTGCTTTTTAAATCTTTCCCATTCTGAGAGGCAAACACAAGGATATTTAGCTTATTTTGATGTACATTTTCCTGACAATTAGTGGTTGAACATAGTTTCCTCTTTATTGGCCATTGAAATGTATTAAAATTTTCTTATATCCTTTACTCTTCTTTCATTTGGGTGGCTTGTTTTCCTTACTAATTTGTGCATATTAGCTTTGTGTCATTTCTTGTAATTATATTTCCTTTATCTCTTTATATCTTGATTTTTATAAGGTGTCTTCACGTATAATTAGAAAGAATAATCATCTGATTAGATACATGTTTTTATCTTTTACGGGTTCTGAGTGTCTTGTCTTGTTTAGTGAGTTCTCCCCACTTCATGTTTAAACAAATAAATATATGCCTTAAATTTAACATGTTATGGCCTTAATTTTTAAAGTTAAATTTTAATGCAACTGGAAGTTATTCTGGTGTGCAGTATGAGATGGGAAGAACATTTGTATTTTCCATTTGGATGGAAAATTTGCCAACACCAATCACTTAATGAACAGCCTTTTCTAACTCAATTAAATGTCACTTTTGTCATGTAAATTCCCAGATGTTTGTTGTTCTTTTTTTGAACTCTATTTCTTTTTCTGATATATTTATCTACTCCCTTCAAAAATATTGTATCGATTTTAGCAATACTTTTAATATTCAATAGTTCAATCTCCTCACTGTTCTTTTTGTTGTTGTTTTCTTTAATATGCTTTAGCATTTATTCTGACATGAATATTAAAACCACTTTATTTTGATTCAAAAACAACCATTAAAACTATAATATTTTATAGTTTTCTTCTTACAGATCCAGCACTTTTTTAAAAAAAAATTTATTCTTATATATTTTACATTTTTTGTCATCATGGTGAATAGTGTATTTTTTATTTCCATAGAAAATAACCTATTAATTTTTGTCATTTCATTTTCTTTTGTATTTTATCTTTCATCTAATCCAATTATCAAATTCTCATATGAATTCAGTTGCTTTATATAGTCTCTTAGTTTTCCTAGATATAATCATATCACATCCAATTAACAGTGATACTATATCTTCCTTTCAAATATTTATTCTGATTACCTCATTTTCTCCTATTGCATTTGCTAGAGTGATATTTGATAGAAGGTATCCTTATCTTGTTGCTAACTTTAAAGTGAAAAGTGGTTATTCATTCAATAAACATTTATTGAGTCCCTTCCTTTGCCAGATACTAGGTTTGAAATTGTGCATGGGCATTTACCAGCTACATGATTTTTTTTCTAACAGCTTTGTTGATATAATTCATCTACCATAAACTTCACCCATTTAAAGCTTATACAATTCAGTGGTTTTTAGTATATTCATAGAGTTGTGCAGCCACCACCACAATCTAATTTTAGAACATTTCATAACTCCAAAAGGAAACACCATACTAATTTCTCACTCCCAACCCTTACTCACACCTGCAGGCAACCACTAACTTAATTTCTGTCTCTATAGATTTGCTTGTTCTAGACTTTTCATGTAAATGGAATCATACAATATGTGGGGTTTTTTTACTGTTTCCTTTCACTTAGTATAATGTTTTCAAGATTTACCCAGGCTGTAGCATGTATCAGTACTTCATTCCTTCTTTTTTACTGAATAATATTCCTTTTTATTGATATGT